AAGACGTTATTAAGGTATTCTCTAGATAATTATAACTATTGAAAAATGTTTAATTGTAGGCATAAGTATGCAATTAGAACTGAATAACTTTTCATACTGATTATTGATTAAGGTCGTACAATCTCCGAACGTTGCATTGACTTGAATTCATGGGTGTGAAAGTTTATAGATAGCAGAGACAATATTGTTGGTGCATAAAATGTAGAAGATTTGGTTTGCAAGTAGACGTATTGAAAAACGCAAATGGACGACTCAAATCTAAATGAATGTAACTCATCAACAGAAATATGAACATAATTTTTCATTTGATTCGAAACCTTTGGTAAAATAGATATAAAATGGATATAATCATGGGAAAACACACTGACATCTTGCTACCTCTATACCGGGTGACAACGAAATCATTAGCCAGTGCGTCGATCATTCAGTTCTCTTTTATGTTATACTTTTGACATTTGCATCGAACATATTATTCCTCAAAATCTATATTTCACATAAGAAACAATTAAATATCATTTTATGTTTTACCGGACATATACCTAGGTCGTGATTTCAAATTAAATCCTGGTAATATTTTCACGTCATTCGATAGAGCAAAAACTTCCCTTTTCAATGACTCGCTATAAGTGGAACAGTAGGTGTAGTGTGTCAAGACTTATAGGTACTCAGATGTTAATTACAAAAAAGTACCATTTTCCTATTGAAAATTTTGAATAAAAATTCAAAAGAAAGAATTCCATCTAGAAGAAAAACATACCAACAAAATTGAGTAGGCAAGTTGACTTCGCACGTCACTTTGAAGTACTCGTCAAACAATGATACGTATAGTCGCGAATCAACGACAAAATTCTTAGAATAGACTCCTTTGATATCTTCATAAGCAGCACTAAATGCACTATCATCTTAGTCAATCTATATTTTTATTACGTAACTGGTGTTGCAATGAACATTTCATCATCAGTTATATATTTTATTTTACGCAACAAGTTACGTAAAGTGAGACGTTTAAAAACTTCCGTCACTTTTGAAAAGTGTCAAATGTTAGGATATCCTGCCATCAAGAATAATATTCAAAATTATAGAACTTTAACCTATTTCGTATCATCAACTGAAAAAGTAGCTTCATCAATACATAAATAGGACTTAAAAGTAGCATATTGAACAAAAAACAAGTTGGGAAGGTTTATCAAAAATAATGAAGACAAAACTACTCGATTCGAAAAATCAGGGGTATAATGTAAACTTGACTGTGGATCTTGACCTAAGGTATATATCGGTCAGACAGGTCGTACGTTTAGTCAACGCATTCATGAACATAAAATGAATTTTTTGAAAAAGAAAACAAATCAAAATACGCCAACCTTATATTAGAAGAAAACCATAGTTTTTATGATGATTTCGAAATCCTACACGTAGAAAATAAAGGAATGAAACTCAATCATTTTGAATCAATAGAAATCAACAAACCTCAATATATAGTTCACCACAATTGAATTTGTTTTCTTAGTAGGTAACAATATGTATTTGCTATCAACCCTTTCAAGTCAATCAGGTACACCGAATTTTAATATAGATATTGTGCCTGATTGCCGAAAATGAAGGTTTATCGGATCTGTTCAAACTATAATCCTTCAATCAATCAATCAATCAATCAAAATATGCTTTATTGTCCGAAGATTTATATCTCATTGACAAAGTCGTAAAAATGTTTACATATATAAAATATAAAGTAGTTACACATAAAATCAAATATATACATATGAATAAACTAACAAGCTAAAACGAACTATACAGGGTGGGTCACGGTAGATGGCACCTTAGACGTTTAAGGAGAACGGGACATAAGATCATTCTGAAAATTTGGTTACTCAAGTAATTGCTCTTGATCTAGCGATCTAAAATATTTTCAGCTCTGCGGCGTTGCCGCTTCTATCGAAAAGTAGCAACAACTTTGTTATTTTAAATGGAACACCCTGTATTTTATTGCATCTTCAGATTCTTTTTGGAGAGCTGATTTCATCGATATATCACACTTGGGGTCTAGCGGAAGTGATTACAAAGATATAGGGTGTGAAAAATCGACATTTTTCAACTTAAGGAATTTTTTTTGTCGAAACTATTCATTATTGGTCAAAACGGTTTACATGTCCCTATCTCAACTTTTGATTAACTATCTACTGATATTTAATTGGGACATATACCGGGTGATCAAGAATCTGAATTCTGCACCACCCTGTATTTGTTTCAATAAAATGTCAGTAGATAGTTGATCAAAAGTTGGGATAGGGACATGTGAGCCGTTTTGACCAATAATAAATATATTCGACAAAAAAAATTCCTAAAGTTGAAAAATGTCGATTTTTCACACCCTATATCTCTGTAATCATTTCCGCTAGACCCCAAGTGTGATACATTGATGGAATCAGCTCTTCAGAGGGAATCTGAAAATGCGATGAAATACAGGGTGTTCCATTCAAAATAACAAAGTTGTTGCTACTTTTCGATAGAAGCGGCAACGCCGCAGAGCTGAAAATATTTTAGATCGATAGATCAAAAGCAATTACTTGAGTAACCAAATTTTCAGAATGATCTTATGTCCTGTTCTCCGTAAACGTCTAAGGTGCCATCGACCGTGACCCACCCTGTATATAGACAAGACACATTACATATGTCATCAAGAACGAACATCTACTAGTTTGATTTAGATATTCCTGAATATCATAAAATGCCTCTTCTACAAGAATCAACTTCACCGAATGTCTGAAAAAAATCAACTGATCCTATGTCCTTGACACTGGATGGAAGATGGTTATGAAGCTTAACAGCATTATATATTATTGAGTATTTTATCAAATTTGAAGAAGGAATAGGAAGCCTCAAATTGCTATTTTGACGGGTGGATCCAACAATGGTGTCATATGTTGATTTATTTTTATGTATCAAACATACTGTTTCAAAAATGTACAAGGATGGGAGAGTGAGGATCTTATGCTTCTTGAATAACCCTCTGCAAGGTTGGGAAAGTAGGATATATAAAAGTTAGGCAAGCCAAGGTTAGTCTAGTTCATTGAACCAGTATATCACCTGATGAGAATTTTGTGGAAATCTTATCGTTTGTGAAGTTCTTACATACGTAAACTGATTAGGTACACTCAGGTCGACTTATAAAGGATGTTGAATGGCTGTTTGCTTTGATTCCACTCACCATCAGGACCGTTTTAACTTTTATTTATAACCATATATGTAATGTTGTCATTACTAACGACATTGAAGGTTGGGAAGTGTCACATTACACACCTCTACTTCCCGCCCTCACTTCCCGCCCTCTCTACTTCCCGCCATCAATTATGTACCGTAGAGTGAATTCTGACTACCAAGCTGTTGGTGTAGGAGTCCCTCAGGGATCTGTTTTGGGACCTATTTTGTTTCTATGCTATATCAATGAACTGGATAGTCTCACCAATAATTCGCATTATGTAATTTATGCTGATGATACTACTATACTCATATCAGACAAAAATGACGATAATCTATCGGAACACTGCCACAACGTTATAGATACAGTGATCTCTTGGTGTAGTGTTAACTCACTCCTCTTTAATGTAGAAAAAACTAACGTAATGAGATTTCATCATCGGCAAAAACGTTGTTCAAATATAAATATATCTGTGCATGGTGATCTGCTGGGAAATGTTGATGAGTTAACATTCCTAGGAATCGGCATAGATGAATGTTTAACATGGATATACCATTGTAAGAAATTGATAAAGAAACTAAATCCTCTCTGTTATATGTTTCGGAGTCTTAAAACAATACTTACAGAAGAACAGTTGTTGTTGCTCTATCATGCTCAAGGTTCCTCCCGAATCCGCTATGGTATAAATTTTTGGGGTAACTCTACTCTATCACCGGATGTTTTTATTGTACAGAAAAGGATTATAAGAATGATAGCAGGCATACAATCTTGCCGAAATATTTTTAATAGCCTTAACATTTTAACTGTCATTGGTGTTTTTGTATTTGAATCATGTGTTTATGTATTTTTGAACAAAGAAAAATTCACTACTAATAGGAATATACATGGTATAAGTACAAGACAATGTGACAATTATCACATTCCAATGTGTAAATATGAGATTACACGTAACTCTCTCAATTACTTTGGACTCAAAGTTTTCAATAAACTTCCCAGTCGATTGAAAAACTTCAAAAAACTCAGTCATTTCAAAACGAACTTGAAGCAATTCCTACTGGAAATGAATCCCTATACTTCAGAAGAATATTTTTCGGCAGCCTAGTCTTTTTGTTTTCTGTCTCTGTAATATCTAAATATTATCATTTTATCTTATGTCTCTGTCTCAAACTGTCTAGTTTTAAGCCTTCATTCTGACGATTCCTATACATGTAAAAATGTCTAATGGAAAATAAACGTATTGTATTGTATTATATTGTATTGTAATATTTCAGATATGTTCAGAACGAAACAGAGATCTATCAAGTTCGATCGAAATATGATGGTTGTTAATAAAATAGTATACAAACCTCGGTAGAAAGTTTCATTCCTGTCTCGAGATTATAGCTATAACCTCGACGGTTTGCGTCTCGGTTAACTAACTAATCTCACGCCAGGAATAAATCACTTCCCACCTCGGTGTGTAATATACTATTCCTTCTCAAATCTTGAATTATCAACAAAAATATCAAGCGAATTTCTTGGGAGTTATATTATATTATAGTTAAATAAATGTCTTCCTCACTTTTGACATTTGACTTTGAGAGCACTCGGTATCCCTCTCATCATCAGTTCGGTGAATGAAACGAAATAAATCGTCCAACATGCCAGAGTACAATGAAATGGAAATAATCGGATAATCCCGCATTCTTGACCAGATTCCCATTCCGGAGGAAACTTGTTTTTCCGAGCTCAACTGATGCATCAGCCATAAATCTCTTGCCACGACTCAGCAACTCTCCTTCTAATCTGGACCGCTCTTTTTCAGGTGAATTTCGGTGACGTCAAGATCCCCAGGAACTTCGATTACCCACGGCCACAGAAGATAGCAGCGCTGAAGGGGGTCCATTCGATATCATCCGACAACATTGTTATCGTGGACGCCCAAACTTTGTTGATCCCGAATTTGTCCTACGACGGAGAAGCTCCAGGTAAACTTACTCACTTCACTCGATTACTTGCTCAACTACGGCTTGAAATCGTTATACTAGAATCCACGCTTCCATATCGTCGCTCCCATTACGAAGAGGCCTTCCTCAATATTTACAACTTTACTGGAGAGCGGTTTGGAAAAAACCCTGCGTTCATTTTCACTGTATTACTGGCATTCATGTCTCATTCCAATCCATTTTTTCATGATAACCTCAATGAATCAACGAAGACTAACGAAGCATATATACAGTGTGTCCCACTTACCATGCTCACCATGGGTATCTTTTTAACGGTGAGAGATACGAGGTCGGTGAAATGACACCAAATGTGGAGTTTGTCAAGGCCAACTATAATGTGAAGAAATATTTTGATAAAATCTATTCGTTTTTGTTTTATACGCAAAAAATAGATTTTGATCATTTTCATGTCTCCTCCGTAACTTCTTTATTTATGAAAATATTCAAATAGGAATTTCACATTCTCATGGCAGTTTTTCAAAGTGATTTCGAAAAAAATATGAAATTTATTCCAACTCTTCTAGAATATGAGATATCAGCACCAACTTTATTTCTCAAATGTAGGTCATAGCTCACTATGACTTAGTTACAAATAACTTTTTTTTCTCTCACAGATGATATGTCGCAGTAATAGTTTTGTGTTGATAACAACGGAGTTATCTTCATTTATACAAAAACAAAAAATTAATTTCAAGTTGCCATCTTGAATTTATAGATTTTAACAAGAAAATCATGATCTCCGACCTCAAAAACCCCCACTTACCAATTTTGAATGGAATCGGACCAAATCTTGTCCGCCATCTTGGAGCAGCCATTTTTTTCAATTGATGGCGGACAAGATTTGGTCCGATTCCATTCAAAATTGGTATGTGGCGGTTTTTGAGGTCGGAGATCATGATTTTTTTGTTAAAATTTATAAATTCAATATGGCGGCTTCCAAATAATTTCTTGTTTTTGTATAAATGACGATAACTCCGTTGTTATCAATACAAAACTATTACTGCGACATATCATCTGTAAGAGAAAAAAAAGTTATCTGTAACTAAGTCATAGTGAGCTATGACCTACATTTGAAAAACTAAAGTTGGTGCTGATATCTCAAATTCTAGAAGAGTTGGTATGAATTTCATATTTTTTTCGAAATCACTTTGAAAAACTGCCATGAGAATGTGAAATTCCTATTTGAATATTTTCTCAAATAAAGAAGTTATGGAGGAGACATGAAAATGATCAAAATCTGTTTTTTGCGTATAAAACAAAAACGAATAGATTTTATCAAAATATTTTTTCACATTATAGTTGGCCTTGACAAACTCCACATTTGGTGTCATTCAACCGACCTCATATCTCTCACCGTTAAACCTGGGTTTCTTGGTCAACTACGATCACTTCGCCTGTGACCAGAACATGATAAAAAGTGTCATGCGAGCGGCGGTCTCATTCGACATGCAAAATGTGCCCACATTTTGCTGCGGCAAGATTACAGTGTGAAGACAAACTCAGTTTACGTTTCCAGATCGGTTCATACTCAATACTAAGCTATGGTCTTGTAAAGTTTACACATTGCCTATATACTGAAACGAGATCTTCCCAGCTGCCCTAATAGTACAGATTCGAGTATATCCCATCGGCGACTAGGACCTGCTGAACTTACTTAATTGCCCTACGAATAAATATTTTTATTAGCAGATGATAATTTTCTTTCAGTTGTATTACAATAGACTATGGGAAGGGAGCGAGTTGTTTCTATCCGCTGTATGAAGACTGTTATTTCTTGAGAGTTCATATATTATGGAGTTGATAAAGGGTAATTCTGGGCCTTCCTGAGTTTCCAACAGCAAAGCAATTTCATTATCTGAGTCGTCCTCAATCGAACGATACCCAGTAGGTTTCATTTTATTCTCACGCGTTAATTGGTTCACGATACCAGATATAACTTAATCTCTCATTACGGATCTCTTGACACCTCAATCAAGCCATTCTTGAAGTGTCATTTGTTTATCAAATGAGTCATCTTCAGGGAGTCACGGAACAAAAAACCTTCTAATAATAGTTCTTCAGAACGTTGGTTTGATATCAATGCATAAACTTATAATGTATATTTTATGTGTTTTAGTAATGCTAACTGACCCACATTAAATCTATAGCGTTACCTTCATTCTAGAGGTGGATTATGTAAAAGTTCACTCACCAATGGAGATGCCTGTATATACAGTACAGTAGGTACTTCTTCATGTTAAAATATGAAGTAGATTGTTAAGAATGGAATTTGATGTTTTTGATGCTGAATTATGGTGAAATCCAAGTCAAGAAATGAAATATTGTTCAACAAATCCAATGAGTTATAACATCTCAAAACATTCGATTCTGTTGACTATAGAGCCGCAGAAATTTCAAACGATAATGAATAATTCATGCTTACTGACTGCCTGTTGTTATAGGTCATCCTACCAGTACATATAAGTGAGAATTTGCTTCAACAGTAACTTAGTAACTATCGCAAACTACCAAAGCTTCTTGATTCCGAACTACTCGTGTTCAGGGAGGAGCTCAATATTCTGATTAATAAAGTTCCTGTGGTATCACGTATACCTATACCTGGAGGCTCTGAACTCTCAACATGGAAATTCTCACGTTCCTTAGCGCATAGCGAGCATCGATAAATTCCTGCGGTCATGAAGTATGTGTTAACCTAGCTTTCTGGCTACCTTATAAGCGGTAGTTGGACGGATTGATAACTCTTCACATGGAGTTATTTTATTCATCGGATATGCCAGTCGATACATATGGAACTCTGGATATGCCAGTCATTACATCTTACAAATTTTTGCAATAGTTTTCATATACCAAGGTAAGCAGCGTTGAATTTGTTTCCCAAATGTTCATAGTCCTTATGGAAAATAAGTGAGCGAGGCGAGGAAAGGTTGATATCTTTTATTTTTGTGGCAACAGCTATTTGCTATTTCAAAATTAACAAGAATGCTCATCAACAATAGCAATTCACGTAAAAAGTCCGGAAAATACTGTTTTTTTGGACAAAATTCTAGGCCAAGCCGTAGGCGAGTCCTGGAAGTCTGCGAGTCCAAAAAAATTGCTTTTGGACATATTGCGTACACAAATTTTTTCGGCAACCATATGTAGAATAAAAATTCAATGAGACACATTTCCATATTATATTTCCTTGTGGAATGCAATCTCTTCTTTATTAATACTGAAATTTGAACAGAATACCTATACCTACTAACTGCTGAGAACATCGGAAATTTCGTATGGACATTTTCAAACTCACTATCGCTGCTGCTTTCGATATTTTATTGCGATAATTGCAACCAAACTTTCAAAAATCCGAACATTGTCAAATTGCTGTCAGCCGATATTACGCTGCTATGGTGATAATTATCATCTGCATTTATCAAAACTAATCAAAACCTTATATTATGGCTTCCGTGACTGGCGACCTGCTAGCTCACGTCTCACATATATGGCAGCAATCTATCGAAAAATATGGTGAAACCTTAGCCGTGGCACTTGATATTCCCAAGGCATTCGATCGAGTCTGGCACCACGGAATCATCGCCAAGCATCCATCTTATGGCTTGCCTCCCCAGCTATATTCTCTGCTAGCTAGTTTTCTCTCAAACAGGTCTCTCCATGCAGTGATCGACGGAGTTTCATCTTTTTTTTTATCGCTTGGAGCGCACGGAAGGGAATTCCTATAATGTTCAAAGAATATCGTGCGTTCCAAGGGAGGATAGGGACAGGAGGTAGGTATTGGAATTTTTTTTAAACTTTTGGAGATTATATGTTGTTGGGAATACTTCCACAGGCAATGAATTCCAGAGCCTAGTCGTTCTATGGATGAAGGAGTCTTGATAAAGTGCTGTTCGACATCTGGACAATTGTGGGTATTCTGTATATTGAAATAATACCCTGTATGTGGTTGAATTGAATACTATTCGCTCGCCCGAGAACCATATTTGAATAGTAGCTGTGTATCATTATTTTTGTTCGTTGCTATGTACGTTGTTATGTATCAGACTTGACATACACATATAAAAATTGTTGACAACTAATTGGATTTTCATTCTGATAAAAGTACACATTTGAGCATTCATCTAAGCATTCATCATTCATTTAATATCACAAGTAATACAGTCCACCATATCGAAGAAGATCAAGCAAATCTAGCCATAGTTTTTGGTACTTCGAGCCCAGGATGTCTTCAAGGAGCTGCATATCTACAAGGAGCTGATTATTTACAAGTTTGTTAGCATCGATAAAGCATTCATTGCAAGGGAACAAGAAGTGAGTCCATTCCATTATATTCCTTCCATTCCTATCTATCCCATTTATCCCATTTAATGTTGTTTCTAGTTGTACAGGTTGATCAAACATTTCTTCATTTTGTGCAAATATAGCATTTTTTCTGTAGTTTACCTTCCATTGAGGTATCTAATATCGCATTCATTCACCGATTCATGACTATTTCATTCTGAGGTAATTAGAAACATAGAATATCATTCAAGAATTAACGATACATCACAATACATCATTTTAGTTTGAATTTCGAGTTATTGAACCACTCATAATAATGTCAGAAAGTGATTTGAAACAATCAATAAGAAAACGAGGTTCAGCCAAGTATAAGTTAGCAAGTTTTGCAGCATTTTTCGATCCAATTGATGCCATTTTCCTACAACAGGGAGAGATAGGAGAAAGAACAATTATTGAACTACAATTGAAGGTTCATGACTTCAAGAAATTGAAAGACGATTTTGAGGAAATTCAGCTTGATATTGAGTTACTTTGCAGTGATGATTCGCTAGAGTCACATTATTCAGAACGTGAAAGATTTGAAATACAATATTCGAGATATTTATCGTCTGCAAAGCACGTACTGAGTAAATTCAGAAAATATCAAGCTGATGATAATTCAAGTACCACATCATGCAAAAATTCATCTGTGAAGGTACATAGTACTG